AAGGGCATCGGTCACAGGAAAGGGTATATTTTGTACTCTTAAATCTAATGACATATGAATGACCTCTTAAACAATGACACACAAGTATAGTTTAAATAAACAACTGATCAGAAGCATTAACAGAGAAGACAGAATTCTCATCTTTAGAAATCTGATTTGGAATTCTGAAATTTAACCAACTATATATTGGATTTAATAAATTAAAAGAGCAAGTTGAATACGAAGCAGAATTTGACAGAAAAAGTTTTGGAGATTTCCTACAAGAATTTCAATATGTCTAACCAAGTGTTTGATATTCATATTGAAGTATCCTAGAATGGGAATTCCAAAACTAAAAATTCAGATTAAAGTTTACTAAAAAGTAGTACTGCACGGCAATCAGAAAATTAGAGATATACTGCCATCTAAATAATAACTTTGAGAAGAAAAGAAATTGCTTAATTTGTATGTTATCTTTCGTTTGAAATTATTTTCTTCTTTTCTTTCAATTAATTTTTTCCAATCATAAGATCTACATTTCTAGATTTGGAATAGATTGCCAGTGACCAGCGACATTTAAAAAAATAAACATTCATGAACTTGCCATTCCAAAACTAGCGTGCTGTGGCTATTTTTTAATCTGAGTATTAGCGTAAGAATGTGGCAGGGTTGTATTAAATAGAAGCTGTAATACTTTTACTTATAACAATAGTAAAGCCGATTCCAGTAAATGACCCATATTTTAAAGCCTATAATGTGTAAAATAAGAATATATTAAAAAAGTAATTTTTCGGTTGCTGGTTTTAGGATGGCAAGCCCCATATATATTGCATCTTAAGGCTTTAAGTTACTGGCAACAAATCTAAGAATATTTGTAGTTACATGTCCGTGCACCATTGAAAACTTTTTTGATCTGTTATTTTTTGGAAAGGTAACAACTTGCATTGTCGTACTTTAAAATGATTGATTGATTGTTTTAATATTTCAATTTTTAAAAGTTTTTTTCTTAGTTTTTGGTTGGCAAGTATATCTTTAATGACTTGTCTGTTGTTTTTTTTTCTCAAATACTGTACAATTTTGATTGAAAATATCTGTTAGTAACCTGTCACCTAATACTTTAAGTATTAATTAGTTAAGACATACATAACAACATTAAATCTAAGATATTATTCACAAATACGTTACACAAGTTATTTAGTAATTAACATAGCATATCTATTATATGTTAAATTATTCAATTTACAGATATTTAATATACATATAAACAATGGACATAAACAGATTGTAATGAATTTGATGAATACAGAGACACATCCTCATAAATGTGAGATTTTCTAATGTAATACAAGCCATCCCAAACTACATACACATAGTATGTGCAAAATGATATAAAATTCATAATATAAGAGATTATATAATTTCACATGCAAATATTTAAATCCCAAAATTAGACTTGCATTATGTTAATATGATGAAATGACTTTTATTTCATTGTACAATGTTTTGGTTCAAGATCATTTTTATAATTATTATTCAATTAAAAAAATCTGAAAAACATGCAAATTTGTTTATCTGCAAATTAATGTGGGGAATAGTACATCTAAAACAATACAATAAATAATATGAAAATATACATTAAAATATTTATTATGACTTGTACATTTGATTAAAATATAATTTTATTATTGGAAGAAATTTATATATGTTGGTAACAGCAATAATTTACATAATGATCTTTGAACTCTGCATAATGTCAAATTATCATAAAAATATAAACCACAAGCATGACATATACCTGAATTAAATACTCACACAGGTGAATACAGGTAAGAATGCAGGTGAAAATGCAAATAAGACCATTCCACAAACCAAGCAATAGTAATATCACTTAAATACTGTAGTAACCCACAAGTACACACCGTTTCAACACTTAAATACACCATTGGATAAAACAGATGAGATTTCATTGGAATATCATTAGATATACTTTTGTAGAAAACAACTTTCATTCATCTATAATTAATGTGTATCTTATAATTGAAAACATTATATTAATATTGTGTGAAAAGTTAATCAGTTAAAAATTTCACAAAATGTAAAAGATAAATTATAATAAAATTGTAAATTAGTGGGCTAAGCAGATGATGAATGTGTTTGAAGAAAACAGTATCATACATCACCTTCATAATCCAAGTATTGTTTCCCGATTTTTAGTTTGTTGTATTTTATAACTTCAGAAAGGTGCGTGAAGAGGTGTTGATTCAGGTGGTATGAATGCCGAGCTAGAGTTACACCATTCCATGCATTGCACAAAAAACACGCCAACTAATTCTAATATTGCTACCATTACCAAAACCAATCAAATTAGTAACATATTAGTTACATTAATACACCATACGATACATTAAAATGTTACATAGACGTATCGTACGGTGCTCTAATGCGTCATTGGTTAAACATGGCTAGCAAGGATGTAGAATGCATAGCATACTGACATTTCTGAGGCAAAGGGAAGTACAGTCAAATTAAATCAACCTCCTTCAAAATTTCAAAAATTATTCTCCCAAAAATGGTTTAAATCAAATTATGAATCTGTACCATTTCTCATTCATGGATTTATTTTTTTACTTCATCAGTAATATATGTAATGACATATCCAATATGCATCTTATGTGAAAACAGAGTTAATTAAAGAACTTCTATAAGTTTTGACATTTAGTTTTTGGGAACAGGGAGACAAATGGGATGCGAGACCCCATATCATTGGTTTGGTGACACTATCAAGAGGAAGTGCTAAACTGGCACAGCCTGAAAGATGTGACAAAGATGGACACCGTTCAGTCTCGCTTAGCCAAGAAATGTCAATGCACAAGCTCGAGTTAAACGACACGTGGGATTAGGGCACGCTGCTCTGTAGCAAGGAGGTCAAAATTTACAAAAATGTTACAAAGCGAAGGAAAACATTACAAAAAGCAGAGAAGATTCAAACACCCACATACAAGGAATTATCTAAAACACATTCAATAGAGCAGTGAACAGTACTTTAGGTGATAGCTTTCTTGGTGCTGGTATAAATAACAAATGCTAATACTGTATGTATTTGGTTTAAAGAGAATTCACATCTCTTGCTCTTTCTCAAATTGTATTTACTGTATTTAAGTAAATATAACTTACCTCAATATTAACTTATTAAGCTCAGATTAATCAGTTCATCCTAAATTATAGTTTCATTTTTATATCAATCTAAAATTTTGAATTTATATATGTATTGTTTTTTTTTTGTGCAATGTATAGACCCAGGTCTATTTTTATGTATCATTTGTAATTTAGCTGCAAAGCTACAATGATGATATTTTGAAATAAAACTAAAACTTGAACTTATACTTGAAGTAATACTTTTCAACTGATGTATCATATCAATTTTTTTTAGCCACTTTTGTAGTTTTTAGGCTGTGCTTGACTTTTGTTTTTGTTTTTCACCATTGACTTGAATTCAAAAATAAACAATTTGATTGATGGGATAAAAAAAAAATTGTCAGTCTTTAAAATGTAATGCTCTGTTTGAATATACTCCTTTAATAAAGAAATCAGTCTATTATTGCAGGTTAGGCTTTATTATTTATATATGAACTTTGTAATAAAGATTGTGTGGAAGATGCCAGCTCTTGACATCTCAATGATGAAATATTAATCTAAATTTGAATAAAAATGTATTTTATAGAATTGTCTTTACTTTTAATACTGAAATACATTTTACTTTTCTTCATTGTACTTCTTTAGAGCCTCTAAATGCTAATGAGTATTACCATGCACAGCAATATTAAATTAAATATTTTAAGAAAGCACATTTAACCAGATCTCTCTGAAGGGACTGCTTCTAATTTGGAAGCCCTGCAAACTCTCCTTCCTGGGCCTAGCCTAGTTAAGCCTATTAAAACTCACAATGGTTGGCCTAAATGTGAATAAAAATAAATCATGTGTTCTGGTGAGTTCGTGAATCTTGCTTACTTTTATAAAGTGAGGTGTTTAGCCTCGATCATGTGTCATATTAGGGTGTTATTCTCAGGGATAAAAAAAAAAAAAAAAAAAAAATATATATTTATATATATATTTTACTATGTAATTTATTATTACCAAATTTATAGATTGTATTGAATATATGTGCTTTTTGACATGAATACGGACTACAGAATATGATATTTGAAAGAAACATAAAGGGTTTAGACAAATTGTTTACCATTAGAAAAGTAATTAATTTAACTGTCTCTTATACACATCTAGATGTGTATAAGAGACAGGAAATACATTTTACTTTTCTTCATTGTACTTCTTTAGAGCCTCTAAATGCTAATGAGTATTACCATGCACAGCAATATTAAATTAATTTAAGAAAGCACATTTAACCAGATCTCTCTGAAGGGACTGCTTCTAATTTGGAAGCCCTGCAAACTCTCCTTCCTGGGCCTAGCCTAGTTTAGCCTATTAAAACTCACAATGGTTGGCCTAAATGTGAATAAAAATAAATCATGTGTTCTGGTGAGTTCGTGAATCTTGCTTACTTTTATAAAGTGAGGTGTTTAGCCTCGATCATGTGTCATATTAGGGTGTTATTCTCAGGGATAAAAAAAAAAAAAAAAACCTTACCCATCCCTTTCTAACAAATTATATTTTTACTATGTAATTTATTATTACCAAATTTATAGATTGTATTGAATATATGTGCTTTTTGACATGAATACGGACTACAGAATATGATATTTGAAAGAAACATAAAGGGTTTAGACAAATTGTTTACCATTAGAAAAGTAATTAATGTGTAGAAACAATTTATTCTGCAATAGTTTGTTGCATTGTCCGTTTGACGGTACGTGGACTTTTGACGCTATTTTGTCGTTTGGTAACGCGGAATGAAATACGATTCAGTGCTCTAGTGAATGTGCTAGATCCTCCCGGTGTAGTGGGTACCTCCATTATCACCCCATTTTCAGTGCTATCTACCCTACGGAATTCTAAATTCTTACGTTGTAGATATGTTGGCTCAGTGTTCGCCAAGTACTGATGAGGGCGCTTGCCACTGTAGTCACGAATGTTAACATCGGCTTCTGTAAAAGTATGTATCGGTAGTTTATTGTTTATCATTAATCACTATTCAATAAAACAAATTCATAATTGTAGTTTGTTGCATAAAAAGAATTGTAACAATCCTGTAGGCGAGACTTTTTATACCTTGTTTCGCAAATTTATTTTCCAAAACGATCCAGATAGAGGAGAGAATAAAAATATAATTTCATTGGTGAATGTAAACAGTGTAGTAATGGGATGGTTAAAATGCTTAAAATTTATATTTTAGGAAGAAATGTACATATCTAGCAGCGGTGTAATAGAAATAAAGAAACATTTTTTTTCTGAAATTTTTATTTTTTCTAATTGGCCAAAAATAAAATTTAAGTTTTATTAAAAATCATCACTTTTGGCAGGTTTGTTAAAAGGTATAAAAAAAAGTATTGCCTTACATAGAAATAATTATCCATAAAAAAAATACACCACAAAGGAAAAATAAAACATATGATTTACAATCAAAACTAAATCACTTAGAGAAAATAAACAATGGTTTGAATTGAGACAAAGCTTAATGTTATAATAACAAAAAAAAATTATTCCAGAGAACTAATTAAATTCCTATTCACTTACAGTATTGCCCCAGAGTGAAAGCATCTAGAAATTATTTTATTGTTATTATTTTACTTTTATTTTCATTTTCTCTGTTTGGCTATATTTTTTCTTTGTAAAGCGCATAGCGACAATGTGCAATATGCGCTATATAAATATAACATTATTATTATTATTATTATTATTGAAAGAGTAATATTCTCATTTGCTCAGAATATTTCTAATATTACTAAAAATAGCACAAATATATGTATTTTTGTTTTTACATTTTCCCACGATCAATGAAATTATTATTACTGTAGTTGGTATTTTTGTTGGTGTTCGCTGAAATTTATATCCAATATTTAACATACTTTTTAAAAAATCATTGGTATGGTTTTTTAAGGTGAAACTTTTTTATGCATTCTTTAGCGAACCCGTCGACTGCAAATATTGATGATTTCGAATATAAATAAAATTTTATTTTTGGCAATTAGTGCACTGCTGCCTTGAAATTTCCAACGATAAGATATGTATATTTCTTCCTAATTATTATACATTTACAGCATTCAACCATCCTGTTTTACATTCCCCAATAAAATTTTATTATTATTTTTCCTCTGTCTGTATTGTTTTTGGCCAAACTATTTGCTAAATAAGAAAACAAAATTTAATTTTCATTCCGGGCTCCTTCAATGATCTTTAAAAAAATAAGTATGCAAAACAAGGAATAAAAAAAGTCTCGCCTAAAACTGAAAAAAAATTACCGTATTCTGATGTGAGAAACTTCATGATAGACTCTCGGTTGTGCATAGCAGCTATATGTAATGGTGTATAGCCCTACAAGAAAGAATGTTAAAAATCCATAAATACAACAAATGATTGGTGAAATAATAATTATTTACTTCAAGAAATATAAATCATAAATATACGAATTTGTAAGAAAAGGAAGGAAAGAAAAGAAAAAGAGTGTGCTCATAACTGATGATAGTGGCTTATGCCTACAGCTGCAAAATCTTAATATAGCTGAAGGCAGCAACTTAACAGAAGAAAATATTAAAACAATAATCTGAATGTTTTGTACAGTACTCAACTTCAACAGATCAATAATTGTATCAGTTGTGAGTGGAGAACTTTTATTACAGATAATTGCACCTAAATCTAAAACAGAAATTGAAAGCAAATTAAATTGCTTTAATATTTTGTATTTAAATTAGTTCTACTGCAGTATTTTCTTGCTATATTTAATCACAGTAATTAAGTTTATACTGATTTTGTTATTGTTGCACATCTTTTACAGTTGCGCCTCTGTTATAAAAGAGAAGCAATAAAGTTACTTACTTTCTTACTAGAGAAGGATTTGTTTTAATAAACAATTACTATACTATATTTCTGATTGTACATTATTAAAACAGTTTTCCCAATTTTAAAGGTAGAATATGGTTAATCAAAATCACTGTAATATTGATGAGAAAAAAGAGGTAATGAGGAAATATAACAGAAAAAAAAAATTATGATATGGAAAAGCAAAGGAATGAGAAATGGAATTGGAGAGAAGGAAAGTTGCCAAAAAGGAAGGCTTGACCCAGAAAACAAAGGGTAAATGGGCATTTGGAAGATGGTCAACCAGTCAAGGCCTCCCTTTAAAATGAAATTGGTTGTCAAAACATAAAAGTTCATGTCACTCGTTCTGATCATCATCATAATTACAAGTCAACACCTCCAGTCATCACTATCATAATGTCTTATCTAGTTAGCCTCTAATCTGTCTGCCACAACTTCCTGTTGGGGATTTGTGGGTAGTGATCTATCTTTGGAATTTAACCATAAATTTGGCAGTTTGGTACATTATAGCACCCTCATTAGAACAAGTCTAGTTTGTGACTCTTGATTTTGCCAGGGATAGTTTTATGAATATTAAAAGGTTTTTGGGTCTGTTGCCTGCGCTTGTGCAGCAGTAGATACTATGCCATTGTCTTTGATAAATGGAAATGTTGGATATCTTCAGAAATCATTACCTTTGGCCTCTTTGAGGCCTTACAGTACATACACTGAAAGTCAGAAGTACCTTTTCCACTCCGCAGCAGAAAAAGTATCCCTATGGGATCCTATTTTTATGTGTGGTGTTTTTGAGTGTTAACATTGTTTATACTGTGATTTGGTATCTTATGTACTTTGAACATCGGTTCACTTGGTATTTATTGATGTGCTTTGACCCACGTACACTCAATCACTCAGTCTGGAGTCAACTTGCCAAGGGACAAATCATCAAGGGAATGTAGAAAAAAATAAAGATTTCTCATCGTTGTAATAGATGGTATCATAGGTACCTAATACCCGATAACTCGAGACAAAATGTTACACAGGAAACATGCTATGGGAAATTTTAGTATAAGCATCTCCTACTACACTCCGTACGGATGAAGGCATATCTGTGTAAGATTAGCACGCATCACATTTTAACATTCCCAAATATTTAGCAGAGACGTGTGTGCTGCATATCTTAACAGTCAGCCTATCAATTTAAACAACTTTTGCAAGATGAGGTTGATTTTGGTAGAGCCAGGAACACTGTGTAACATTGTTTTTTCATGTGATTGTGTATAAAGCAATTGCTTATTAAGGAATATAATGTAACAAGGAGAAAGTAGATGAGCAGTGGCATATCGTGGGGTGCGCACCCCTCCCTCAACTAATCATCAAGCCCTCCACTTCACCTTTCCTACCCATGATATACACATCTAGATGTGTATAAGAGACTATATTACCATCATTATTAATCTATTGCATTTGAGTATACAAAATGCAAAAAATAGGAAATATACTTACCGCATGCTGGTCCCAGCAAAAAAGGCAAATATGGAGAGAAACCAAAACAGAAAGATTAAATGTGAGTACATAACAAACTTTCATAAACAAGATCATTTCATGGCATAAATATTTGAACTGTTGTTGTTATTATTGCACATACATATAATTCATTCGGAAATTAGTAGCCCACGCCGATAACAAGTAAACATTTTATTTATTGGTTGAAAGTATAATACAACTACTGTACCAAGAACAGAATCTATAGCCCCTTTCAGACAGAGCTGATATACCACAATATTGCATTTAGCACGCTGGCGTGGGTTTCTGTCTGATGAAAAGGTTTATACACCAATATGCTGGCTTACTTCAGACCAACAAGCACTCAGAAAATTGTCAGATTGCGACAATATTGCGGTAAAAAAGGCAGTGTTTGAAGTGTTATAGGGCCAGCAATCACTCAGTTATGATTACTGCAATATTGTGGTAACATCTATCTAAAAGGGGCTTAAATTTAGTAGAGCTTATAGACTGTTATGGTCCTGTTAATAACTATCATAAAATCATGAACATACATATTTTTAGAGCTAGTGGTAAAGTTCCACATGATTACTCACCGATCGTGTGTTTATATCCATCCCAGAGTTGGCTACTAATTTTATCATTTCTTTCCGTCCGTGTTTGGCTCCCCAATGCATTGCAGTCTATAAAATATAAAACAAAATTAAAATTTAAATACTATAAAATTATAGCATAATTATGTTGTAGGTATCTAGTAATACCAATATCATCATCAATAAAACTATTATATCATTACTTTATAGCCACTACTATCATCACAACATATAAAGTTCAAAACTCCAATTAACAGAAATAACACATGTACAATCTGCATATATTTTGTAAAATGTATTTGATTTACAATATATAAATATTAACATGTACCAACTTTTTTTAAAGTAAAAAAACAAATGTAGAAAACAAAGATGACATATTGTAACATAAATTTCACCTGCCGAAAAAGTGTACGTAAATATCAAACATTGATACCATTTGATGATGGATCCAAAATGCCTATCTAAGATGAATGAGACCAAACGAAAAGCTCATTCTACTAAAAATTCCTCCAAACCACATTTACAATCAAATATACAGTTGTTATTTATTTGTTCATGTCAGAATGTGTTAGAAAAACTGCTGTACTTGTTGAGCTATTAAACAAACATGTCTTTATAAAGGTTCGCTTGGCAGGAAGCAGTGGAAGATGGCAACAATTAATGCCTTTATCACCAGGAGGCATTGCAAGATAAGTATGTTTCCAATGCTTGTAGAGAGGTACATAACAGTTGACAGACATGTCACGCAGCATTCCCATAGCTTTAGTTTAATGCGCAGTGTCAAAGTTAAATTATTATTATTATTATTAATATTATTATTATCATTATTATTATTATTATTATTATTAAAAGGCATATTTGATATTAAGGTTAACAAATACATTTGAAATTGCACTGAAAGTCAGGGAATAATGTTTTTGAATATTTATTTCTATAATTTATTCTTAGTGTTCCAAATGACTTATTGCAATTTTATATTTTATATTAAAAGTTGTTTTGAAAACTACACCGACGTGTACACCGCTCCCCCAGCCGTCCCCTGGCAAAACAACGTACTATAACTTATTTTATTTATGTTAAGTTTCGTTGTTTTGCCTTGGAACGGCCAGCAGCCCCCACCCACTCAATCAAAAAAGGGAAAATATTACACTGATTATATAGAATTTGATATTTTCTGTAATAAAACTTAATAGGGAACCTTAAATGTTAGAATTTCAACCAGTATCTACGTTACCGAAGCTGCCATCCAAATGGACCTTTTTTTGGTCGTGATAGCGTTGTTGTTGGTGTTGATATATATTGTCTTTATGTTGGTGGTGTTGTATTTGGTGGTGACAGTGTGGTGGTGGTCATGTCAGGTGGTATTTGTTGTTGGTGATAATAGTGGTGTTGTTGTTGTTGGTGGTGATGGTTGTGGTATTGTTATTGGAGGTGATAGTGATGTTTTTGCTGGTAGTGACATTGGATTTGTTATTGGCAGTGGTTGTGTCAGTTGTATTGTTGTACTGGCAGGCAATATTGTTTTCTTTTTTTCTGGTGGTGGTAATGTTTTGCTGTTGCTAGAGGCGGTGCTTCATTAATAAAATTATTCTCGTAATTAGGTCAAGTATGTTGGATGCTAATTTATGTCTACCATTATTTGGTCTACCAGTCTGTGATGAAGGGTACAATCCCGTAATGTTTAAAATTGAATTGGAGGACATAGTAACTCATCTTGTCTTAAACAATTAACCTACAAGTATTTTGGTGCACTGAACATAGTATGGACATGTAAAAAGCCTGTATTCACACAATTAGTTCAAATTCCCCAACAAACATTTATAGAGGAGATTAAAGAGCGAGTAAATTCATGATATATATCACTGTTTTTCCTGTAGAACAGTACAATAAATCAACATTTTATACCTTGAAAAACCTGATTAGATGTTGCCCACTCTCTATTCCAAGTAGCAGACTATAAGATATTTGATGTAGCAGACGACACAAACTTTAGACCCCCACTATGGGCAAAACCTCATGATCATAACCTTTTCATGTTTTCTACATTCAGTAGGTAAATATATTTGTTTCTATAATTAACTCTTCTGGGACCAAGGTTCTGTGGGGCTGTCAGCCTGGCGACAACAAGGAGTCAATGAGTTAAGGTGAAACCCACAAGGACAATTTGTGTCAATTTAACAGTGATTGATGATGTATGCTGGTTGGCTAGAATTTCAGCATCTGTTAAATGTATAGTGATATGACCCAATGGGAGAAGAGCTATTTAAAAGTCATGGAAATCTACATTTGGTGTTGATGTGTAAACCATTGAATAATAAGTACCTATATGAATTATATATCTCTTACTTCCTTTTGTTGACAGAACAAGCAGCCTGTGTGTTGTGCCTATACATAATAATGGTATAGAGTTCAACCAAGAGGCCTCCTAGCACCATAAACATCCCCCTAGGAGTTTCATGTAATTTCACAGCTAAGTTCTTTGTTGTCATAGCGGCAAAACCAGAAAAGAAATTATTTCTTGAAGGGGATGAATGATCAAGGAGGACTGGCACATATAGCACACCCTCTCTTTAACTCACACTGGGAAAAAAATTGGAATGTCACCCAGTTTAGTGCTGTCTGGTATGGTATTTTGTATTGGCATAATGATGTTGGTATGTTTCTTAATCTAGGGTCAAAATACTACACAATAATCTTGTAACCACATATTAGGAGATGAACTACTGGGTAAAGTATATGATCCTTGTTCTATGGTAAAAGTGATAATGATGTTACAATGAATATGTTCAATGACTTATGGTCACACAATGATGGTATGATTCCTGGTCTATGGTCACATCTTTTTGGTATGATCTCTTGTCTATGTGGTCTATGGTCACATTGTTAATGGTATGATTCCTGGTCTATGGTCACATCTTTTTGGTATGATCTCTTGTCTATGTGGTCTATGGTCACATTGTTAATGGTATGATTACTGGTCTATGGTCACATTTTTTTGGTATGATCTCTCATCTATGTGGTCTATGGTCATATAATTGGTAATGGTATGATATACTGGTCTATGCTAACACTTTTTTGGTATAATCTCTCATCTATGCTCACATTGGTAATGGTATGATTCCTGGTCTATGGTCAAATTTTTTTGGTATAATTTCTCGTCTATGCTCACATTGGTAATGGTATGATTCCTGGTCTATGGTCACATTTTTTTTGGTATGATCTCTCATCTATGTGGTTTATGGTCACATTGGTAATGGTATGATCCCTGGGGTAATGGGTATGATCAAATAGTCTGTGATTAAATGTGAAGCATCCTCACAAACAAGTATTTTAAAATCAAACAAGATATTGACCCCATATATTTGGAATTTCTTTACTACATCTTCCTATCTGATAGGAAATTTAAGAAGCCTCCCTCCCCCCCCCCCCCCCCCCCCCCCAAAAAAAAAAAAAAAAAAAAAACGGTTTAGGACTGTCCACATGTCTTCTATGGTTACTGGAGAAAAAAAATTTGGATTAAAAAAGCATATTTTATTTTAAAAAATTTTTTAAAGTAAATAATAGATTTTGTTTGTATTATCTCAATCACATACAGTATTTTACTTTAAATGCCAATGCACCAGCAAATAAACCAAGGCTGATATTTGCCTTTAGCAAAATAAAAAATGAAAATAAAAAGCTAGCCACCCTCCCTCCCTCATCACTTTCCAGCCTAGATAGGGTGTAAACTAACAATCTTTTTATAGGGCCTAAAATTTAGTTTCATTCACAAAGAATCTAAAAAAGTGGAGTTTTGAGTTGGGTTTTTTTTTATTTTTTTAAATGAATTTCAATCTTAAGCTTGTTAAATTGGCCCCTTCGATAAATTGTTGCACTGGTACAATATACATTTGTTATTTATTATCATTTCAACACTTTATGTTATTCTGAGGTCAGTGAAGTGATTTGTTGCATATCTTGTTCCTATCTTGTGAAGAACTATTTATATACCGAACATAGGAAAAATTACTTCCTGAGTAAAGATAAATTACTGGGCATCCAGTTTATAACAAATGACATCACTGTAAAACTAACTGAGGCAGAGTTTTCAGGTTCTTGATGGATCATCCACGTATCTAGTGTTTGTATATTTGTAAGGTGGATGACATGGACATGAAGAATCACCCCAAAACTGACAATAACACATTCATACCCATCCATTCTGTTGTAAACATTGTTTTAATTCTGATAAAAAAATCAATTTGTCACTCATCAAGGTGTTACTTGGTGATCTGAATAGAAAAGGTGAGAATCATCAAGAGTGACAACTTAGAATCAACCTAGATAGTGGATGTAAGCAGTGAGCTGATTGGTTAAGAACTGTGACATTCAAAAGTGATGAAGGAGAGATGGTAACAGTTGTGTTTAAACACACAAATTACATGTTTGGAAAAAGGCTTGCTGAAAACCAAATTTGTTTCTTGTGTCAACTGTACAAGTTATGGACTCTCTTTAGTTTTATGCCTTCCGGCTGGTTTTAAATTTTTATGAGGTTTTATTTCTTTCATCTCTGCATTAAATGCATTCTTTTGCTAACTAGCATATCATTGCTACTGAGTTTCTTTCAGAAAACAAGTTATGGTATGGTAATACAAATTTCACCCCCACACCCTATTCTGAGAGATGACTGAATAACATTAAATAGGAAAACAATATTGTGGACTTACCAGTACAATCCAATACTGTATAGGACAAAGTTTAGAAGAAAAAAATATTGTGAACCATGGTGTGATGGATACAATAGGCATCCTTATTAGAGTTAGAGTAAGAGCCTATATTTCATTTCATTTCATTTATTTTGTCTAATTTGAACACACAAAACAGTTTCAAATTTGGGGAGACAGGACAACCAAGAGTATACTAACTGTCAAGTGGCTCTCCAAACCGAAAGAGAAACTGGAATAAAAAAAGAAAATAAAATAGGAAATATTACTCTGAAATTAATAAATTAAAATCAGAAAGCACAACAGAAAAAAAAAGTAAAAAAAGAGAGGAGTAATGTAGTTGTATCAAAATCACTGGAGTGGCTGAAAGTGAACAGAAAAAAA